TATTGATTCGTCTGTCATTATAATGATATATTATTCAGCAATGTAACATTGTTATTCCAAGACTATTTTTTCTTACTAAGATTTTTAAGTTCACTAGAAAATATTTTTTCCTTATGATTTTCTTTTTCTTTAATTTATTGGGGTGATATTGGTTAATAAAATTAGATAGATTTCAAGTGTACAATTCTATAATACATCATCTATATATTGCATTTTGTGTTCACCACCCAGAGTCAGTTCTCCTTCCATCACCATATATTTGACCTCCTTTACCCTTTTCTACCATCCCTTCCCCCCTTACCTTCTGATAAGCACTAAACTGTTGTCTGTGTCTACAAGTTTTTGTTTCTTTCTTTGTTTGTTCATTTTTTTTTTTTTGCTTTCAGTTTGATATCCCACATGTGAGTAAAACCATATGGCTCTCAGCTTTTTCTGTCTTACTTTGCTTAGCATGGTAATCTCAAGATCCATCCATGTTGTCGCAAATGGCATTATTTTATCTTTTCTTATGGCCAAGTAATAACCAGAATTTTTTTTAAAAAATTCCAAAGTGTGTTTCAAAAATACCCTCATGAGTCTAACATAATACTCAGATTTAAAGTCATATTTCTGAATCACAAAACTTTATCCTTTTCTCCTATTTGCTTCACTCAGCTTTATTTACCTAATCACTATCTTCATATCTATTGTATAAAATGACAGGTTTCCAACAAAAAGCACAATAAACACACACAGTAGTCAACTTAAATTGTAAACAATCATAAAACAAACTTTAAAGCATTTCTACCAATGTAAAGCTCTGTGGAAAATTGTTTTGTCAAAGTATTGTGGATGATTATTATCAACAAAAAATGAGGGAAGGTAATGTTACAATAATGATCTGGAACTGTGAGTCAAATAAGATTAAAGACGCAAAGAAACTCTTCCTATTAAACAAGCAGATAACTGCTGGAAAGAAAAATATGTTCCTTGTTTGAAATTAACTGCCAAACATTCTCAACCTACACAAAGCTGTCATAAAGGACATCTAAATCTGTCCTTGTTTGTAACATGTGTTGTGACAAGATTTGACAGTTTATCAAAGAACTATAATTGCCACCTAAACATCTAGCATTTTGTCAACCGCAAGAATGTTTAGTAAATGCATTTATTTTACTTAAAGTACAACAACCATTTTTTTCCTCCACTTTCTGAAAGAATTGACTGAATATCTTTTCTCCTTAGCTGATCAAGCTGCATCAGGGCTCTTTGAATTATTTATATTGGAATTGTGAAGGGTAAAAGAATAATCAGTACAGCAAAAAACTATTACCAAGGTAATATCTATATATTCTGGGTATTGACTCAAAAGACCTTCAAAATACAACAATTCTCACAGATCTGTAGAAATGACATTTAGATACGCTTGCCTTGAGAAGGAGACAGATAAGGCATTTTCTCTGTACCACAATTTCTGTTTACAGAATAATTGATTAAGAAACAATGTCTTAAATAAAGAGAATGCATTGTTTAGTAGGCATCATTCCTACCTGTAACTTTTGTCAGAAACAATCAATGATAAGATAGATGTCTCTCTCAACCTACAGAGACCAAAATAAACAGGAGTTAAATCCCCTTGCAATAGATCCCATCCACGTAACAGAAATGTCAGAGCACAAAAGATATTTCTGTGACATTACTAATGGTTCATTTCTTTCCAGAAATGATTTTTTAAAGTAAAAGAATTTTTCTTTAGGTTTGGGTTTTTGGTCTTTATTGTAATTGTTTGATAAAAGTTTTTATGCTAAATTTTTATGCAAAAGTTCCTGCACAACTTTGTAATTTTTCCTTCATTCTGCTAAACCTCAAAGAAAAGGCATAGAAATGGTATTGTGAGAAAAGCCCTACTTGAAAATTCAGAAATCCCACATTCTAGTCCACATTCTGCCTCCAATTAGCTGTTAGATCCCAGGCAAGTTATTTCATTTCTCTGGGCCTCTGTTCTCTGTCTGAATTGGTTGTTAGATTGAGTGGTCTCTGAGGCCATTTCCTTCTTTAACATTTTATGATTCTAGAAAAATCCCTGAAACTATGAGGTGTTGCAACAGCCAGAGCTTAGAGCAAAAAATAACAGCAAGACAAAAATTTCTCCTACTTAACACATCAAGAAAAGAAAAATGCAACCAACTATGGGTTTTGAATGTTTACATTAGCATTCAGTCCTATTTAGGTAATATTAAGTCTATTTAAAAATCTGTTTTGTTTTTCTTTGAAAACTGGAAACTGTGTGACACATTAAAAACACTAAAAGAAAAATCATTTTAATTGGCGCTGCAAGTACTTTTCAGTGCTGCAAAATTAAGCCACAGAATTTTCTTTAGAAATCTTACTGTATGCAGTCTGGCTGAGGATGAGAATTATATGGTATAGGTGGGTCTGTTGATTTTATATAGGAAAGAAGGATTGTGGACAGAAATGAGCCTGCCAGGCACTGTCAACCATGAAGAATCTGAAACGAGGAGCCCAGTGTGTTGTTGGGAGAGATGAGATTGGATCAGAAGAGGACTTTTTTTTTTTTTAAGATTTTTATTGGGGAATTCGGGGGAATGGAAACAGCGCTGGGGAATTGGGGGAAGGGGAACAGACAAGTTGCTGTCATTTTGTTCTTCAGTCTAGTTGTGGAGGACGTTGCTTCACTGGCCCAAGTTGGCACCATCATTGTGCTCTTCCAGGGCGAGGCAGATCAGTCGCCGGCTTCTGGACAGCCGCTCACTGCTGCTGCTGGCCGCTCACGCTGGCTGCTGGCTACACACGGTAGCCCATGGCAACCCACTGCCACAGGGGCTGCAGCCTACGCCGTCGCAGGCGACTCACGGCAGCCCAGCTCCAGGTTGAGCTGTTGTTCAGCATCTTAGCTGTAGAGGGCAGTGTCACTGGCCCTCATATGTGGGATCCGAACCGGGGCCCTCCGGCATCCCAAGCCAGTTCTTAACCATCGTGCCACTCGGCCGGCCCAGAGAAGAGGACATTTTGATGTAGCCTTTCGACATAGCTGTTTATATAGCTTTATAATAACAGCTCATTCAGTATATAAAACACTTTTCTTCTGGCAAAGTAATGTGTTTCACAGACATTGCCAAATCTTACATTTCTATTGCCCACCCCATTTCTTAGCCCATTCCTGAGCTTATCTTATCCGTGCACCCAACCCAGTGGGGTGAGAAAATATATTCAAAAAATTATTTAATAATTTCAAAATATAAAAAAGTGATGATTGGGGTTTAAGCTAAATCAAAATATCACAGAAACAAATGTCAGCCTCACAATTAGCAGGATAAAAATGCGTGATCTATATCTAGTGCCGCCATTATTTTCACAACACAGTTTGTTGGTGGAATTCCTGGTATCTCTGGCCCCTTGCACTTACCCCACTACCCCCAATGTACATTGAAAGCTGTGTGCTTAAAATTTTCTAAGAAACACTATTATCATATATATTTTGTTAGTCTTTTTTAAGTTATAAAAATAATGAAAGTTCAAATACTATATTAACAGATGGCAATAAAATGTGACAGTCCCCCTTCATCCCCAGCTCCCACCAACCTAGTTCCCTCTCCAGAGATAGTCATAATAAAAATGATTCGCTGCCTTGACTGTTATTTAATTTAAATACACAAATATCATACTATACATATTTTTGTGACTGAGTTTTCACATTTAAAAATATCTTGGGGTCATTTTCATATTACTACACATAAATCAGTCTCTTTAAAGGCTGCCTGTGGGTGTACAATACATTATTTGATAATTGGCTTATCAGTGGACATTTGTTAGTTGTTAGTTTCCAGATTTTTTATTTAATAAGCAATTTCTAGAGGTTACTGTTTGTCATTCACCATCTTTTTTTTTTTCTTTTTGGTCTTCAAAAAATTTTTATTCTCTTAATTTTTTTCTTGATCACAAAGGAATGAAAAGTTCAAAATACTTGTCTCTTTACAAACATTAGTATTGGTATTCCAGGGTTAAAAAATGGAAATACAATATTGCAATTATTTTAAATTTTTCCTTAAAAATGTAGAGTTAAAATTATTTTCATTTAAAAGTAAATTGTCATTCACCATCTTATACCCTGTAAGAGGTGCAACACCCAACACACAGAACACCTCAGGAAATATTGACTGAATAAATAAATACAGCAATAAATGCCATTATCAATATATTTTTGAGGTACTTGTGAATATTTTAAGTATTTTCCTAGAAGTAGACACATTGAGTCAAAGTTATGTGCAAAAATTTCCCTTGCAAAATCTACACATTTACACATTCTATTAAAATAGGAATTATCTAGCTTATAATTTTGTTTAACTGATATGTGAAAATAATTAACATTTTCTTGATTACCAGCATTTTTCATATGTTAATTACTACTTATTTTTTCCTGTGAATTGCCTATTTATACCATTTTCAAACTTTTAAATTTGATTATCTTTTCTCACTCAATTGAAAGAACTCTAACTATATTTTAAACACTTTCTCCAGTTTGTAACTTTTGTTTTAAACTTATGGGTTTTTTGCCTTATAGAAGTTATACATACATATATATCTATAGATATATATAGAGATAAAATTACTTATGATATTTATTGAGGTGACATTGCTTAGTGAAATTATATAATTTCAAGTGTACAATTCTATAATACATCATCTGTATATTGCATTGTGTGTTCATCACCCAGAGTCAGTTCTCCTTCCATCATCATATATTTTTATGTACTCAAATTTATTTATAAAGCTCTGGAAAACTAATACAGGAACTAATAGGGGGGGGAAAATCCATGAACTGAAGAAAGACTTGATTCTTTAGTTTAAAACTGTGAAGTGGGTGCCAAGCAGGATTTTTTTTTTTAAAGACCCGCGGCTGTTTAGAGCTGTGCACAGCCGGAAGGGACAGTAACTGCCAGTAACAGCCACTAGGAGCTGTTAGAGTCTGGTCTGACTTCCATTCCAATAGCCGTGGCAGCGGTGATTGCTGGACCCCGAGTGCCCTGGGTAGTTGACCAAAATGCCAAATATCAAAATCTTCAGTGGCAGCTCCCACCAGGACTTATCCCAGAAAATTGCCGACCGCCTGGGCCTGGAGCTGGGCAAGGTGGTGACCAAGAAATTCAGCAACCAGGAGACCTGCGTGGAAGTTGGCGAGAGTGTGCGTGGAGAGGATGTCTACATAGTGCAGAGTGGTTGTGGCGAAATCAACGATAATCTAATGGAGCTGTTGATCATGATGAATGCCTGCAAGATTGCTTCCGCTAGCCGGGTGACCGCAGTCATCCCATGCTTCCCTTATGCCCGGCAGGATAAGAAGGATAAGGGCCGGGCCCCCATCTCTGCCAAGCTGGTTGCAAATATGCTGTCGATAGCAGGCGCGGATCATATCATCACCATGGACCTACATGCTTCTCAAATTCAGGGCTTTTTTGATATTCCAGTAGACAATTTGTATGCAGAGCCCGTTGTCCTGAAGTGGATAAAGGAGAATATCCCTGAATGGAGGAACTGCACTGTTGTCTCCCCTGATGCTGGAGGAGCGAAGAGAGTGACCTCCATCGCAGACCGGTTGAATGTGGACTTTGCCCTGATTCACAAAGAACGGAAGAAAGCCAATGAAGTGCACCGCATGGTGCTGGTGGGAGATGTGAAGGGCCGTGTGGCTATCCTTGTGGATGACATGGCTGACACTTGTGGTACAATTTGCCATGCAGCCGACAAACTTCTCTCAGCTGGAGCCACCAGGGTTTACACAATCTTGACCCATGGAATCTTTTCTGGCCCTGCCATTACGCGCATCAACAGTGCAGGCTTTGAAGCAGTAGTAGTCACCAATACCATACCTCAGGAGGCTAACATGAAGCATTGCTCCAAAATGCAGGTGATCGATATCTCCATGATCCTTGCAGAAGCCATCAGGAGAACTCACAATGGGGAATCTGTGTCCTACCTGTTCAGCCATGTCCCTTTATGATAAAATAACTTTGGGGTTATTCTCTTTTAAAATAAAATAAGATAAAAAAGATAACCTGCCTGTTGTTTTCCCTGGGTGTTTGATGAAAAGTTCACCTGAACACCCAGCTTGCTCCAGTGTGACTTGCTACATCCACATCAGGTATATTTAGAGTTCATCTTAAACTGGGGAAAGACAGATTGAGAAGTAGCTACTGGGGTTTCCTATCGGGGTTGTCTCGTTCTAGCTTCTTGAATGATTTTGTGAGCATTGCAGCTTGAACTACAGGTTCTGCGGCTGGTTTCAGACTTTGAAGGTGTTGTATGGTGGTGTTTCAAAGTGACTGGCGAAGCTTAGACTACTGCACATGTGACTGCTTCAGGGTTGACTTTGTTCAGAATAGCTAACATGCAGCCAACTCAATCCACCGTCACCACCTTCTTCCCTCCTCCCGCTTCTGTCCCCCTAATTTCTCCTAGGCCTGTGCTATTGCATCAAGAGCCTTGAGCAACCCCAATCCTAGTTCTCCTGGTTGCTGCTGAGTCCCTTGCAAGGCAGGAGCAGCTGCTTTTAGCTTGAACAGGTACTGGGTGGGATCATGAGAGGAGTTTAAGAAGGGCAGCAAATGCTCCTTGAGAGAACAAGATGAATCTGTCACCATCTATTTGGAGACTTTGCATCTTGGAGTCTCTGTTGTACCTGTTCCTTTTGATTTAGCTTTATCTGCAACCATCTGACCTTTCCCTGGCCAAATATCTTGTTGGGCTCAGTGATCAGTGTAGCAGTTTTCTGAATGCAAACTCACTTCCTGTATGTAATCTGTAACATTTGCATTAGCTGTATTTGCTGCAACTTAATCTTAGCCATGGTAGTAGATTTTAGGTGGTGTATAGTGCCTTTTGATTAAGCATTTAGTTTTAATCTCCCTTCCATGTATTTGGTTGGTCTCTCAGATGACCTTAAATTTATTGTTAAAAATTGATGTTATTTTCTCTTGTAAGGGAAACCAATAAGATGTCTGCATATGTGTAAAAAAAAAAAAAAGATGTGAAATTTGGGGAAACTGCACACTGGCCCTAAAAAGCTTCTAAAAGATAAAACGTAAGCAAGACAGACTTAAAGAAACAATATTCAAATTGCGTCAAACTTCTTATTTGCTCTTCCAGGCAATAAGCAAAATAGACCAATGTTTCTGAAATTTTAAAGGAATATTATTTTAAACCAAGATTTCTGTGCCCAGCCAAACTACCACTTAAATTAGAGGGCAAAATTAAGACATTTTTATATATTAAAGGACTCAGGATCTTTATCACTGTGAATGCTTTCTGAAAGTATCATTTGAGGATACTTAAAATGAAAATATATACAACCAGAAAGAATATGCAGAATAAAAGAGAAAATGGTGAGCAAAGAAAGAAGTGAAACTGATAGAAAAATAATTTTTCATGAAATTATTGTAAAGATTATCACAGTAAATAAGGTAAAATTCACACAAAAATTGAACCACAATATAAAGCAAATTATTTAAAAATCTGTAAAAAAAATTCCAGATGATATCTATAAAAGATGGGAGGTTAGCAGAGGTTAAATTTAGTGTATTTTAAGGATTTCCTCTAATATGCGAGGAAGGTAACTGACACAAATAACTAACATTATAGAAAAATCTTAGTTTAAATATGTTTTCTAAAACTCAAGGACAGGCAAGAGAAGAAAAAAATGGGATAAATTACTTCCAAACTGCTATTCAGAAAGAAAAACTGGCATAATCAAAAGTAAACAGATCCAGCTGAAAATAGGAAATAAATGAGGAAGAAAACATAGCAAATATAAAATACCAAATATATATTATCACAGCCAAAGTCAATATATTAAGTTAACCTTATAAAAGACAGATTATTATATTCAATAGAAAAATATCTAATGACAGTGTTTAGAGGAGACATATCTAAAACAAAAATTTGGATAGAAAAGGATGATGAAAAATATACCAAGTAAATGCTGACAAAGAGAAAGCAAGAGCGACACAGCCAAAGAATCAGGTCGTCGGAAAAGTCATGACGCATTTTGCCTCTGTTTTTCAAAGGTCATTTATTTATATAAAGCACAAAGATCAATCAATGCTATATTGCCTGTTTTGTTTGATAACCTTTTGCCATCTTTCAGTGAGCTTCATAATTCCTCGTTCATAGAAGGACCTGTCTTTATTTACAAAAACTGAACAACGTGCTGATTTACAGCCTCATCTGAATTGAACGTTATACCACACAAGGAGTTTTGAAGAGAGAGAAACAAGTGGAAGCCTGATGGCACAAAGTCAGGTGAGTATGGTGGGTGTGGCAACACATCCCATCCAAGCTCCAATAATTTTTGACGGGTGATCAAACTGGTGTGTGGTCTCGCGTTGTCGCGATGGAACACAACTCCTTTATAATTAACAAGCTCTGGACGTTTCAGGATGATGGATTCGTTCAAACTGTGCAATTGCCGACAGTACACATTCGAATTGATTGTTTGGTTCCTTGGTAGGAGCTCGAAAAACACGACACCTTTAAAATCCCACCACACTGTGAGCATAACCTTCCTCGGCTGAATGTCTGCTCTTTTTATGTCGTTTGAGGTGAATCATCACGTTGGGACCAAGACTGTTTGTGCACCACATTGTTGTAAACAATCTACTTCTCATCATCAGTTATCAGTTGCTTCAAAAAAGGACTGTTTTCCTCACGTTTAATGAGTATATTGCAGATGTTTATACACGCCGTCAAATGAACTTCTTTGAGTTCATGCAGAACCCAAATATCGAGCTTGCTTATGTATCCCAGCTTCTTCAGGTGGTCGTGAATGCTTGAATGATGGATGTTCAATGTTCCTGCAATCTCTCATGTCGTGTAACATGGGTTTGACTCAATCAATGCCTTTATTTTGTCGTCATCAGCCTTGGTGGGCCTTCCTGACCGAGGAGCTTTGTTGAGATCAAAATCACCAGCACGGAATTTCATGAACCATCGTTGGCACTGATGTTCTTGTAGAGCATTGTCACCGTAAACTTTATGCAACTTTTCACAAGTTTAATGCGCATTCTTCCCTTTATGGAAGTAAAACAGTAAAATATGGCAAAAATGCACAGTTTGGTCTTCCATCTTCAACTTGTAGTAAAATCTCCAAAACTCAATCAAATTGCTCACTTTTTTTTAGAATGAAGCTAGAACTGTCAACTGTCAAATGACATGGCAATAATATAGATGCAAATGCTCTAGTACTTCCAAAAATGAACTAGTGCCATCTGTTGCAAACATGCATCATAACTTTTCTGATGACCCAATAAAAGTGGAATGTGTTTTGTTGATTAAACCCCCTAATTATTACAATCATAGTGAATCTTTATGCACCTAACAACTCAACATTAAAATGTAAACAAAAAAAACAAAACAGTGAGAAGGAGAAATGTATAATCTATATTAATAAAGGGAAAATTTAATAAATTCTCTGATAAATCAAAGTCAAGAAAAAATGTTATAGGGTTTAAATAACTGGGATCACAATGTAATAATTATATGTGGAAATTAAATAATTCACCTTTTCCCAGCCATGAATGAAATGTTTATAAATATAAAAAAATATAAGTCACAAAAAGCCTTCATAAAATTTTTAAAAGAATTTATGTAGACCATACATAGTAGATTTTCTAGTCATCTTGACATTGTGAAAAAATAAAACTCTCAGTAAAATAGAAATAGAATGAAGCTTGCTTGACCTGATAAAGAAAATTTACTAGAGACATACAAAAATATACTTGATGATGAAATATTGAAAACAATCCCATTAAAATCAGACAAATTTCTAAGCCTGTGGAATAGGGCAAGAAAAAGAAGACAGCAATACTGGGAAAAAAAGAGGCAAAACTGTCATTATTTTCGATGTCATGATTGTTAAAACAAAAAAATCAAACAATCAAAAGAAATCTACCTATTCCTATAAGAGGTCAGTAATGGGATTGCACCTGAGATATATAAAATAATTGCTTTTCCTAAAAGCCAACAAAACATAATTTAAAAATAAAATTGAAAAAATGTTCCCATAACTAGAGGAATAAAATTTACAAAAAAAGAAAAAAGAGTAATAAACTCTAAAATTGTAGGGCTTATATTAAAAATTTTTATTAATGAATATAAAATCTACCAGAATAAATACATTATGAACCTGGAGAAGAAGTATATAAGAGTTTCCCCAAATCATCTAGTCAGTATTAAACCCAATGAAAACTCACAAAGGAGTTTTTAAAAAGAGAACTTGTCAAGCTTTTCTTAAAGTTCATCTGGAAAAATACACAAAAATATTCAAGCTCTTTCTGAAAATGCTTTTGTACTACAATATATTAAAACATTCTAAAGCTACAGTAATTAAAACTGTTGTATTGATGCAGGGATGGACACATAAATTAATATTGCAGAATTTATATTCCTGAAACAGGCCCATATATACTTACGGGAATTTAGTGCACACACCCTATTTAATGGAGGGTCTGTGTTACTGGAAAAAGGAGTATAACTGAATCAATTCTATAGGAGAATCACTATTACCCAGTCCCTATGGAGATGTTTCCCTGATATCCTGCCTTGGCAACCACTCCTGCAATGTACTCAGATTCTCTGAAGTGGGCATGAGACTCTTGCCATAGTTTTTTCCTAAGTACCTTTCTATAATTGTATGGTCAGTCCAGATCATAGCGATGCTTATGATGGTCTTCTTAATGTTAGTTGTCACTTATCATTATCTAGCTTCTTGAGGGTCTTAACTTTCTGCTTTCTTGATTAGAAAGCACCTCCAGCCTCTTCAAAACATCTTCTTCAAGACCCATTATAACACCATTACTTTGTTTATATGAAGCATATCCAATATTATTATTTCCACTCATTTACTCAGCCATTATTGGAGAAACTGTTCTCCAGTATACAAAATAAATGAAAGAGAGGCCATAGAATCTTAAACAACCCACACTGCACAATCTATTCAACCCACGGTTAGCCAAGTAGCAGATTCCCCAGCTAAACGCTATAGTTAGCC